AAAAAAAAAAGAAATCCAGCCTATGGAGAGCTGGTTATACTCTAACATTTATGAGTTGAACCCAGTTGGAATCAACTCAACAGCTCCTCGTTTATCAGACATGAAATCGCAGTACAGTGTGGTGAGTATTAACCCACCACCCCAAAGTCAATTCCAACCTACAGTGACCTTAAAAGACAGAACTGTCCCTATGGTTTCCAAGACTGAAAATGTTTGCAAAAGTACACCACCTCATAGTTCTCCCATGGTGAGCCTGAACCACTTTTTCGTTAGTAGCTGAATTCCTTAACCACCACACCACCAGGTTTTAGTGTAGTAAATAGCAACAACCCTGCTTAGGAGTTGTGAAAACAAAGGCTCAGAAAAGGTCAGTGGCTGGCCCTCAAAGTAGAAGTGAAATCTGAACTAGGGACTCATGTTCTTATCTGATTCACCAAGCTGCTTCTCCTAACATGTGGGGCCACCATATCCATCAGCACCCCAAAGAACCTCTAGTGTCTTTCCCACAAGATATTCACCACCATTCTCTTCCTATCGGATCCACCGGCTAGTGCTTGCCCCAACCTAACTGCATTCCCAAGGAGGAAGAGAGCCAACGTAATCACACCTAAATCCATTCCTGTGGGAAGTGCAAGGACTAACGTGGTCGTTCACAACAGGGATAGACTCTTTCCTCCGTATGTCACATGCATAAGGAGAGAGAGAGAGAGAGAGAAAGAGAGAGAGAGAGAGATATCGATCATGCAGTCACAGAGAGGTTTAAATCACAGAGAAATCAATTAAGTAGAGTGATTGCCAGGCTGACTACCGATGATCATGTTTGAGACTTTGGGCAAATGCACAGATCTACAAAAGGTAGCTTCCTTACTAACAACTGCTATTTCTTAGAGCTGAAGGAGGAACGAGATGGAGTTTCACCGGTTCAAGTGTCAACAGTGGGTCTGCAATGTAGTAATTGGTGAAGGTTCAAAAAAGAAAATAAAACACACACTTAAAATTCATTGTCCTATGCTTGCAAATGCCTCATACATGACCCTCCAGTGAGTTTCCGGAAGCTACAAGTGGCAGAAGAGGACACTGTCCACCCTTTTCCTGCAGAGCAGCTGGTGGGTTTAACCTGCTAGCGAGGAGCTTTGGGTCAGCAGCACAAATTCCCTGTGAAATCAGCCACCAGAGTTCCTCAGGAAGGTGGCTGTAACCTGCTGTTGGGTTGGAGCCCACTCATAGCTGACCCTCCAGTTGAGTTTCCTAGGCTGTAAATCACACAGGAGAAGGTCACTCATCTTTCTTCCCCAGAGCAGCTGGTGGATTCGAACCACCTCCCTATGGCAGTGGAATACCTTAACCACTAAGCCACCACAGATTCCCTTGGTGAAGGTGCTGAGACAAAAGCCAGTCTGCCATGGAATCTGGAGAGTCTGATGCCTGTGCCTCTGTCTATGACATGAACTACCTCTGCACCTACTGTTCCTCATCACACAACAAATCTTGGGCTGACAACACCAGGAAATTACTCCTCACAAGTGGGACCACATATAGTATGTCTGTACAAGTGTGTTTACCATCTGCCTCCCACAAATGGCACAGCTCTTTAACCCAATGCCAGCAAGGCAACTGAGTTAAATATTTAACTAAGGATCTAAGGTATAAGGTAGTGACTGTGGCAACATAAAGGCAAGTGGGAAGGGGGGGGGGAAGGGAAACAAACCTACACACTTCTGGGAGGGCCCAGGGCTTTTTCAGCCCCTTTTCACAGTAAGAAATTACAGTCAGCATCTCTATGTGGGAGCATGGTGTCCTTGAATGAGACAGTTGCAAACAAATGCTCAGTAAACAACACAAGCGTCAGGCACCGTGAGGTGGAGCAGCAGTCTCACTCTCTGCTCTTCACTGCACTGGCTGATTTAAAAAACAACTAACACCCTCCACCCTCACCCCCACCATGGAACTACCTCCACAATATTCAGAGTCTAGCTACTCCTTCCAAGGTGTTTTTCCTGGAAGTTCAAGGCTCGGGTGAAGGTTCTTTGTCTCACCTGAGTCACATTAAGCTGAGAAGCTGGATGAGAGGGAGATCTGACTTGGGTTCATCTTTGGACCAGCTGAGAGGGAGGGAGCCACAGACAATGGGATGTTTCTATGAGAAGGTGGGCAGACAGGATCTTGTCTTCCATTGTCTGTGAGGTCACCACTACTGGGATCCAGCCTGTGTTGGTGCTGTTTAAATATCACAGGAACAAATAAAACAGACTTGTTTCTTCGCTCCTACAGCAAAGATCCCCATGGAGAAAGGAGCATCCTACGCCTCCACCAAGGCAGCGCTGACCATGTTTACAGAAGTTTTAAGACTAGAGCTTCACAAATGGGGAATTAAAGCTGCAGCTGTTCATCCCGGAAGCTTCAGAACAAGTAAGTGTGAAATTCATGGTGGCTCAAATCATTGTCTTCCCAGGAATGCCCTAAACTCAAACCAAACCTGTTGACTTGATTCTGATTGTGACTTTGTAGGATGGAGTAGAACTGCCCCACGGGGCTTCCGAGACTGTAATCTTTATAGAAGCAGTCTCTCATCCTTCTCCCACTGATGGGTTTTTCACGCTACAGAACTAGCTGGATGTCACTGGCTTGCATTTGTCTGTGAAGCTCCCCTGCAGCTCTGATATCAAGGAGTAGGCTCGCCTCCACACTGAGCTAGCAAACAAAGCCCTGCCCCAGGCAATCCCCAGTGATCTCTGGCTTTGCAGGGGGCTGTGCGGACACCTTCAGAGGAGGAGGAAAGTCATCTGCTATTCAAATGCACAATGCCCATGCCCAGCTACCGGATGGGGCAGGCCAACCTGAGGAACTCCTGTTTATAAGACAAAAACCCCTCAGACAAGAGACTTTGCTGTGGGAAGCTCTTCACATAACACTGATTGTAACAGAGAAAGCAGAAGCACTTGGGTACTTTTCTGAATGGAGATGTCAAGAAAAACATATATTCCCTTGTTATTGTATTCTGTCACTGGGAACCTGCTACATAAATGACCCTGCACTGGGTGTTCAGAGGCCGGACACTGCACAGGAGACTGACCATCTTTCTCCCATGTAGCAGCTGGTAGATTTAAGCGGAGGGGCTTTGGGTGGGCAGCGCAACTCCTTACTTACTAGGCCGTCAGATCTCCCTCCCTCGCATCATCTTGGTGTGTTGTTGTGTACCGTCAAGTCAGATCGACCCATAGCTGACCCTCTAGTGGGTTTTCAGAGGCACTTAACCTCACAGGAGAAGACTCCATCCTTTTGTGGATCAACTGGTGGATTTTACTATGTGCCTTTGGGATTGCGGCACAGTTTCTTAACCCTAGGCTACCAAAGTGGCATGAGAAGTTAAAAAAGACAGTATTTGATAAAGCTCAGAGAACAGAAAAAGAAAGGAAAAAAGGAAGAATGGATAGTTAAAAGGTTTCGGATTCAAGCCAAGAACCACGCCGAGGTAGAAACATTTCTCAGTTTATTGTGTGCCAGGCTACTCAGCAAGGGGAGTAGCCCTGTGGGTTGGGCTTGGGAGGGCTTATATGTGCTTTTACCAAGTGTGTTTTAGGTAGGTTGTAAGATGAGTTGACTTTGCAGTAGTTCATTGGTGCATAAAGTTTCTAGGACTTTCTGGTTTCGGGAAAAGTCCTGATAGGGGAATTTCTGAGCTCTGGTTTCAGGAATCCTGACATAGGATTTTCTGAGTTGTGGTTTTGGGAAATGTCCTGACATGGAATTTTCTGAGTTGAGCTTTAATCTCCATTTTTATTTTTAGCCTAACATTGGTGAGCACAGGGAAGGGGTGGGATGCTGTGGGGACTAAATTAGTGACACGAAATTAAGTGTGTGTGAACTGCTGCATGGAAAACCAACTTGTTCTGTTTCACTCGTGTCACAGTAAGAAGTTTTAGAAAATCAATATCAAAAAGAGAGCTGAGGACTACCCGTCCTTCCCAGAAGAAGCCCTTTCCTGCTGGGACCTCCCCCACTTTCAACACTGCTTCACCCATCTTTCCTCTCCTGTCCCAGGTATTGCAGGCACAGAAGAGCTATGGGACAAAATGGAGAAGAACCTTCTGGATAACCTAGCCCCTGACGTGTTGGAGGACTACGGTCAGGACTTTATCCTTGCCCAGAGGGAGTTTCTCTGCACATTGGACAGCTTTGCTTCTGCAGATTACACTCCTTTCCTCGTGGACATCCGCCATGCCATCCTGTCCAAGAACCCCTTGCATGTGTACATGCCAGGATATGGGTCCTTCCTGTGGTACTTGGTGGTCTCCCTCTTCCCTACTGGGGTGTTTGATCACCTTATGAGAAAAGCACGAGGTTTTCCAATGAAGCCCAAAGCACTGAGGTTGTTTATGGGGAAGAACAAAGCCACATAGGCAGCAGTGGACTTCAGAGGAGCGTGAAATGTCCCCTGTGAGTTTCCAAATAAAGTTGCTTCCTTCACCACTGTCCAGTTGTATTTTGTTGGTTGGACTGGATTGGATTTTAAGTGGTTAAAACACTTTAGAAAAGAATATTAATTGAACGCCTCCATTGCACTAGATCTATTTTCGCATGCAATTCTTATCACTTTATAAGTAAGTATTATGTGGTAGATCTAACTGCAGTCATTAAATAGTAAGGTCTCATGCAATTTCTTACTTAGGTCCTTAGTGTATTCATGGCCAGCATACACTAAGAAATCCAATACTGCCAAGGAGATAGAGAGGCAGATAAAATGTCTAAGTATTATAAAGGTGTTATAAAGTATCTCACATTGTAAAATAAGAATCAGAAGAAATGCATTGGTTGAGCATTCAGGTTGGAGATGGTCATCTTTATAAGCCTTGAAGGCAGATTAAATAGGAGTAAGGAACCGTAGCATAGAGGCGTCCGAGAATGGAGATTTTGTTTGGCCCAGTGCTCAGCAGTTGCCAGGATAGAGTGTGACTCAGTACTTTAGTTCCAGGATATTCTAGCATCAGAGGTGGCAGCATTAGTTTGCAAATAACTAAGCATGGAAGCAGAGTCTGGAAAACGTTAGGAAGTAATTTTCACAAAAGTCGTACGCTGTCTTACAGCTGTCTGTGAGCCAGGGGACGGTTCCCCGTAGGCTCTAGGGATGAAGTGGCTTCTCTAGAGGTGAAACTGCTCTGATACGGTGGGGGTGGGGGAGCTCCTTGAGTAGTCCGTGTTTACAGGCATCAGGGCCCAAAGAATAACAGGAACTGGGACACTGGTCCTTGCATCCAAACCTCCCTTAGTTCTGTCTGTCCTACAGACTGTTTATGGTATAACCAGCCCCAATCTGGAAGGCAATCTCTAGACTGTTAAGAACCAGGGATCTCAGACACAGAGATGTAAGGTAGATGCTGTAGTCAGAATGAGGTGACCCTGTAGTAGAGGACACTGGGCAGACAGCCTTAACCGGATGGCTGATGAGGAGAAATCTCAATGGGAAGCCTATGAAAATGAGATACATAGTCCTCATTGAGAGTGACTCCTACAACCTAGTGCTACCAGAGGGAAAAGGCTGCGAGAAGAGAAAGAAGGGTCCCTGACTGCACATTTTCCCAGTGCAATTCATCCTTTGGTTTTCTGACTGGTGGTGCAAAGAGCTGATTGTGAAACCAGGCAAGCTGAAATTGTTAACAGCTTCAATCTCTCATGGTGTTGTCAAATGGTCCAGTGGTGAGAATCCTTGTCTTCTTGATGTTGAGCTTTCAACCCATATGCCTTTCATCCTTCTTCCTGGTCTGCCTTTCGTTTTTCTTTTTTTTTACTAGTCTATTTACAAAATTCAAATACATTGTTTTCGAGAGTAGATTCTTCCAAAGGAGCAGATGCAAACACTACCTGTCACAGAAGTAACCAATGGATTCGGTGTTGCCCGTTGCCCATCCCCATATCTTATCTCTTCTCTTTCCTTGTACCAACAGCGTCCCCCCTGCATTCCTGCCTAGCATGCCCAGAAACTCTCTCCCCCACAGACAACCCTTGATATGATGGCTCAGGTCTCAGATCAATTCTGTGATGCCTTGTGCCTAGGGCTGCTGCTGGTCTATCACACTGTTGCCTCTCCCAAGTTTAGGAGGCTCTAAAGTCCAAAGCCCCATGTACCAGCTTTAGAGTGCACCACCACAGAAAAACTCCCTTTACACTGGATGAGGACTAAGGCTTGAGCCAAGAATATTAAACCCTCCCTCCTAATCTGTTTATATCAGATCAAGGCTGGTCACATCAAATCACACCATGGGGATTATTACATCCCTGTATAACTGCTGCAAGTTTTTATAACTATCAAACCCTGAGATTCACAGCCAAAACAAAGTGACACATAACTTCGTGGAGACATAATTCAATCCATGGCACTCAGTAATCCTTTAGACAAGCAAAGATGGAGGAGATACAGTAACACATCTGGCTTCCAACATCCACCTTCTAAATATCACTTGAGGTCACTTTAGACCTGACTGCTCACACACATTCATGCTCACACACATTCATGCACATGCCTGAGCCACAGAAGCCACTCAAAGAGACACCCCACAGGCTGCTAAGGCAGGAGAGAAGGACTTTGATATTAGCTCAGTGAACAGATCAAATTCTATCAATCATTAGTCAGTTGTGTTATCAGTCCAAAAGAGGGGATGCTGTCCTTTCATGAACAATCAATGCATGTGAACATAAGAGTACATACTCGAGCTGAGTATTTTCAGGACAGCATCTGCAGGCAGTGGAGGAAGCCTCCCGGTATTGATAACCAACTGCACACTCGTTTATCCACTGGGATGATGTGTGTGCTGGAGTATGTTTAATTCTTGCTCAAACAAAGCCAGGATCTTCTGTCTGCCTCCCTCACTGCTCACACAGCCCAGATCCCCTCCTGTCAGCCTTTGCCCACTGGGATCCCTGGAGCCACTGGTAGCTGAGAATGGGATCCATCTGCTCTGACCCTGCAGCGGGGCTCTGCCTGGCTGTCACCGCTGTGCTGGGAGGAATGGCTTTTGGAAAATTCAGGAAGAGCCCAGGGCAGATGTGGAACTGCACCATCTGCTTGGCGGGCCTCTAGGGAATCACTTGCCTACTTGGCTTTTCCCTTTGCTGGGGCCTGCTTCTCGTCTATGTGTCTTGTCTCCTCTTCTACAAAGCACCTCTCTGGTCAACAGATGTTACCTGTGCATCAGAAGGCCGTCCTCATCACAGGTGAGTGGGCGGCTGCTATTGTGAGTGGGCTGAAGTTGAATTATGACATATTTAACCAAACAAAGGAATTAACAAAGAGGATCAGAGGTTGGTTATCTTTATGAAACTCATATATACATTTTGTTAGAAAAAGAAATTGCACTCAATATTTAGGTTAAAGATGACTGACAGCATTTTTGCACAGTATCTATAGTTTTCTGTAATCATTTCCGTAGATTTAAGATGAGAATCCAGAGAGTGGTTACAAATAGAAAGACTTATTTGTGCTTAGACAGGACATTGAAATTCCCCTGCTGTGTGCACCCTAGCATCTGAAGAACCTGAAGCTAATGTGGTTTAGAACCGTCTCTGTAAAGAATTTTGACTTAAGAGGACCACGGATTAAAATGTGATGTAGATACTCTCAGCTATTTAATCTCAAAATTGCATGTTGCTGTTAGGTGCCATTAAGTCAACCGCAACTCATAGCAACCTTATGAGTAACAGATAGGAGCTCTGGCATCTTTCCTGTTGCTCTCTGTCCTGCTGAAGCTCACTGTGGGAGTCACAGTGTCAGTACACCCTGGGGAGGGTCTTCCTCTCTTTTGCCGAGCCCCTGCCTTTCCTCTCTCTCCCAGGACTGAATTCCCCTAAAAACATGGCAAAAGTAAATGAGATGAAGCTTCACCATCCTTCCTCTCAGAGCACGCTGGCTGCACTTTCTCCAGGATAGATTTCTTTGTTCTTTTGCCAGGGCTGCTATTCTTAACAGGGACAGGAGCTGGCGCTGGCATTGCCTTTGTGGGACTTAGTTAAATGAAGCTTAGAAAACAGGAATGCTGGGCCAGGAATTTGAAAAAGGACATGCCCAAGCGATTTTCCATACCTTGCTTTGATTCATGTGCCCCAGGAGGTTAGCAAAAAGGGGCTGGGAGCAGGGGGGCAGGAGCAGTGAAATTTCCCTGAGCTATGCTTGTGTAAATACGAATCAGACAATGATGGTGTTCTGTGTGCTTTATGGAACCCAGAAAAGTTCTGGAAGATTCTTTGGGTGAAAGCAGCAGATGATTGGGAGATCAGTGCGGGGCTGGGATTTGCAAGTGGGTTATACAAAGCCTGGTTGGCTGTGAGCCTGGGGTTCATTTTTCTCGCATGGTACACACTCCCTTGGGCTACTGGGGGACCCCATCTGAGCCCTTTCTCCTCTGCATGGTCACCAGAGCTGTAACACTACTTAATTCAACCAGGCAGGCAGTTTGTTATGCTTGTTAATCTGGCTTCCAGGTTTAACATTCTTTTGAATTTTTTTTCCTTTTCAGCTGCATGCATGAAACTGGAGTTGTAAAACTGATCTGCTTTGTTGTAAGGCATTTCAGAGTTTAGATGGACTTAGATTACTATTACCTGGTGTTGTCCTGGTCCACAAAGTGCTTCTGAGGAAGAGGAGGAATTACTGGCCAGGAATTACTGACCTTGTCCTGCCAGGACGAGAGTAGACATAAGATGCTGTTGTTGTGTACCTCTGAGTTAGAACTGATCCATAGCTGACCCTCTTGTGGATTTTCAGAGGCAGAAAGTCACACAGAAGATGACTGCCCATCTTTCTCTCACAGAGCAACTGGTGGATTTGAACTGCTTATCTTGGCATTGGCAGCAAAATTCCTTATCACTAAGCCATCAGAGCTCCCTTACATGGCATTCAGATAGGGACAAATTTTTTTATTTATACAGTTCACAAAGCCATTGGATCTAAAGCAACTCCTTCTATAATGCCATGCACTTTACTCCAAGGGTTAGCAAAAGCAACACAGTGAAAAGTTTCTGGAAAGCTGTGGAAACTAGGATTTTCTTATAATGATTTCCTAGATTGGTTATTTGGCTGGATACAGGAGTTTCATTTACACACACCTCTGGCATCTCCTGAAGCTGGAGACTGGCTGGACTTTACCACTTTGGCACTAGAATTGGGAAATCATCCCAAGCCTGGGTGTAAAGGCCATGACAATCTCAACTGTTCTGTCTGGAGTAAAGGAGCAAGCACTGTAAGCTGAGAACCACTCTAGACTAGAATGCTCTCTGTGCATGTGCTGGTGTGCTTTCCCCATTTGAGTGCAACAAAGCAGAATGAGGGGAAATCACAGAATCACAGAGTTTGGGGGGGAGAGGGAGGGCGTGAAAGAATCAGGACAGGTCTAGGGGAGACCTGAAAAGA